CTTGTAATAATGGCTAATAATAGCGACCACTCATTAGGCTGTAGCTTCATGCCAAGTAGTACTATATACTAAGTGCTTTACATAGCACATCAGGAACCTGCCAGGTGGGAGGGGCGAGTCCTTGATTTCAAATGTTCATCCTCCCCTCCGTAAACTGCTGAGCTGTGGATCAGCTGTCTTGGTGTGTTTTACCCTGCTGCCTAGTTCGGTGTTGGAGCTCCTTCATGTGTCACCTGGGTGGGTGGCAAGAGCTTGGGATCTACATAGCCCTTCGGTGCCCCCCCACTACCCCGCCAAGTTGAAGCCTCAGTGGGGAGTCCTCTTGAGGGTGCGCCTGCCTATGCGATATTCAGGCTGCTCCAGTTGCCCCCGCTTGGGCTGCGTGTGAACCATCCTGGACCTCTGCAAATTCCTCCCGACCTCTCTCACCTCAAGGTGTTTTGGGAGGACCTCACTCAGATCTGAGATGCTCCCGACAATGCCTGGGGCTTGCTTGACTCCTTGCCAGACCCTGCGCCCCCAGCCATAGTCCTGTACACCCCAGCCTGCTGGTGGGCTGAGTAGAGACAAAAGCGCCTGCTTGGTTTTTATGTTCATGGTTGAGCTATAGGAAGGAGAAGAAGTCTTCATTCCATAATGAGCAAAGTCCTCTGAAGGCCCCAGCACCAACCTCACCCAGGAGAGAATTTCCCTTGTTTACAAATGTGCTGCCAGACAGCGGCTTGACCTCTCTCCTTCCAGTAGGGTGGGGTGGGGTGGGGTGGGGTGGGAGTGGTCTGAACTGGAGGATCTAGAGGACGCAGGCCTAGCTCCTCTTTAGAGGGCTCCATACTGCCCCCTGGCGGAGCTTTGGCCTGTACACACCTCACTGTGCCTGCAGGTCCCACCAGGGCCAAGCCTTAGGGTACTCTAAAGGCACCTGGGACTTCAGATGGGAGGGCTGGAGTGGAAGAGGAGCCTCCCACACCTTCCTCTAGCTGGCTGGAGAAATGCTTCCCTCCAAGGC